AAAACACAATTTTACATTCTTAAATCAAAAAAAAATTATTCAAATGGACATAATCACATAAATAATTTTAAGTTTAATATTAGGTTGGGTCGGGCCGGGCTCGGGCCGGGCTATTTTGACAAAACCCGAGCCCGGCTCGAATTTATTGTGGGCCGGGCTTTTTGGCCCGAATTTAAGCCTGCGGGCCTATAAAAATGTCCAAGCCCGTCCGGGGGTCGGGCCGGGTCGGGCCGGCCCGTCGGGCCACCCGGCCCATGAACAGGTCTACTGATCACCCATCGACCTAACGGCCTAGGCCGACGATGGGAAACAATGGTTCTGAAAAAGCATTGTTTCCCACCTTAGGCCTTCCCCGTTGACCCAGGGCATCTCCTCCTCCTTTGGGGACGTCCTGGAGCCCTCTCCCTACCCCGTGGAGGAGGTTCCACCACCTGTCTACCCAAACTTCCCCCTCCAAGACCGCTTCTCAGAAATGGCAGAATCACCCAAAGGCCAATCCAGTGGGTGCGGAGGGATTCGATGGCCACCAAACCCACTCCCTCCTACTGCCACTCACCCACCGAGCATCCAAAGACTTTTCGATCAGCCATCAGCCTGACGGCCTGAGCCAATAGTGGGAAACAATGGTTTTATTCGTTTCCCACCATCGGCCTTCCCTGTTGGCCCGGGGCATCTATGCCTCCTTTGGGGATGTCTAGGAGACCTCTCCCCACCACATGGAGGTGGTGACACCACTCATCTACCGCTGCACTCCCCTTCCGAGACTGCTTCTCGGAAATGGCAAAATCCAAAGGCCGCTCCGGCGGCGCAAAGGGGTTTGATGGCCACCAAACCCACTCCCTTCTACTACCACTCACCCACCGAGCATCCAGACACCTTCTAATCGCCCATCAGCCCAATGTTCCGAGCCAACAGTGGGAAACGATATTCTACAAAAGCATCGTTTCCCACTGCCAGCTTTCCCCGTTGACCCGGGGCATCTCTACCTCCTTTGGGAATGTCAAGGAGATCTCCCCCCACCTCGTGGAGGTGGTCACACCACCCGTCTACCCCTGTGCCCCCCCTCCAAGTCCGCTTCGTCAAAATGGTAGAATCACCTAGAGACCACTCCGAAGGGTGCGAAGTGGCTCGATGGCCACCAAACCCATTCCATCCTACTACCACTCACCCACTGAGCATCCCGACAACTTCCGATCGCCCATCAGCCCGACGGCCCAAGCCGACGGTGGGAAATCGTGGTTTTGAAAAAATATCATTTCCCACCATCGTCCATCCCTGTTGGAGGTGGCCCCACCGCCCATTTACCCCCACGCCCCCCGCTAGGACCACTTCTCCAAAATGGTAGAATCAATGGAGACCGCTCCAATGGGTGCAGAGGGGTTCGATGGCCACCAAACCCATTCCATCCTACTGCCACTCACCCACCGAGCATCCTGACACCTTCCGATTGCCCATCGGCCCTATGGCCCAGACCAACGGTGGGAAACGGTGGTTCTGAAAAAGCACTGTTTCCCACCATTAGCCTTCCCCATTGGCGCGGGGCATCTCCTCCTCCTCTGGGGACGTTCAGGAGCCCTCTCCCCACCCCGTGGAGGTGGTTCCACTACCCGTCTACCCCTGTGCCCCCCTTTGGAACCACTTCTCAAAAATGGCAAAATCACCCGGAGGCTGCTCCAGTGGGTGCAGAGGGGTTCGATGGCCACCAAACCCATTCCCTTTAACTACCAC